GTAGCAAGACCTGATCAGACAGCCTTGAACAGTCGTTTATTTCCTCCTGCTGTGCCTGAGAGGTGGGACAAGGAGGTTTATTTCTGCCAGCGCTTTTGCTGGAGACACTCAGAAGACCTCTTCCTTCGTCTGGGGATGGTGCCTTCATTAGCTACTCCTGCACTAACAGCAGAAGGGACCAGGGCTGCAAGAAAGTGGCCCCTAAAGTTTAGGCTAGGTCGTGAGGCCCAGGGTCCTGGGTAAAGGGAAATTATTCCCATGCTATTTTGGAGAGTCTAGTCCTGAGGACAATTAAACAGCCCAGACAGGTCACTGGGTGAGACCAATTTCCTGGTTTGTTTATTGGAGCCTGATTGTTTTTCACCACGGAGCACAGGTCACAGTCCTGCTGCTTTGCTGCACCAGGCCTGCAGAGCGACCCTTCCTATCGCCTTTCACCAAGCTCCCCAAGCGTCCTCTTGTGTCTTTGTCTGGTTAGATTACTCTGGTGTCTCTCTCAGGCCCAGGGTGGAGGACAGTGTCAGTAATTACTCTTGACTTCATCTTCCACAGGCCTTTGGCTTTATGACTCGAGTTGCCCTCCAAGCGGAGAAGATGAATCATCACCCGGAGTGGTTCAACGTGTACAACAAGGTAACTCGTTGCCTTATTTGGGGATCACCTCAATCATGAGTTTAAGGAACTTCTCTCTTTTACCCTCGTCGTCTTACGTAGTTAAATGTCATTGTGCTTAAGAAAGTCTTCTCTTGGGACCAGCAGATGGCATAATGGTTACATCACTAGACTTCCACCTCGTTGATCTTGGTTCAAGTCCCGGACCCAGTGGCTGGCGCATGTGTGTGCATGCCCAAAATCTGAGAAGAGAATGGAGGAGAACTGACTGCCGCATGGCCATTCCGCCTGGGGGTGATTTCTGGCTGTCTGTCTTTCTGTCTCTCTGGCGAGTTCATGTAGCACTAACACTAGCACTATAGCTAAAACACTCTAAAAAAGAAAAAAAGGTCTTCGCTTAACCTTTTCTCTCAGAATCCCTTTGTATTACTGCAAATTAGTAACGAATTTTCAGGTGTACTCATAAAAACAGTGAATGAGCTGTGTATTTTCATGCTTTTTTTTAAAGAGATTTTTGCTATAGGGCCTATGTGCTTGTTGGAGAGAGAGAGAGAGAGAAAGTGAGAAATCACCCCCTGGGGGGATGGCCACACCTCAGTTCCTTCTCCTCCACGCTCTTCTCGGGAGTTTTGAGCACACATGCACACGCCCAGCGTCTTTGAAGCCTCTGGGTCCGGAACTCGACGAGGCTGCGTGGCCGTCCAGTGACGTAACCATGACACCATCTGCTGCTGTCTTCGTGCTTGTGTGTTACGAAAGTAAAAGACGGGCCGGAGGAGGCCCCCGAATTAGACTTGAATATCAGCCCTGTGAGTGCATTTAACAAATTTAGGGTAAATTATTGATACAAATTGTAAGGATAGGATATATATGGTCTTATGAATCTCATTGAAACAGAGAACTGTACTTTAATTAATAACTGTTTCTTAACTTCTCTATCTTCAGTGGGAACTGACCTTACTTAAGCAAGGGCAGACTACAAAGTTTTAGGAGGCAGAGTAAGAAGAGTCATCTCCCACCAAAAGTGCCCTTGCCTTTATGGTCACATCATTTGGAGTTTCTTTTCTCTCTCTTTTTTTAATAATTATTTTTTGGGGGACCAGTAGTTGGTATAATTGCTATGTCGCTGGACTCCCATGTAGTTGACAGTGGTTTGAGTCCCA